GACTCATAGTTTTTCTATTTGCCACTAGAGGCTGCCTAAGCATTATCTGACTAACTCTAAGTGATGTAAGGGCTTACATTTATGGTGTAGAATAAGTAGAAACTGCCATTGTTAAGATAAATCATGCTTTTCTCACCAATTTTTAATGACTGAAAGTATTAATTGTTATTTGCTTTGCTAAGATTGTGGCTGCTGCTTCCTAGTGTTGTCACGTAACGCAGGAAGCCTGTCTTTAATCGAGCATAATGTTACAGGCAGCCCCAAGCAGAGCAAATAAAACCTGCTTGTATTTTTTTATTTCAGCCAAGGGTCACTACCTAAAAATTAGAAGATTCATTATCTTTTTTTGGTTGCATTAAATACAGTAAAAACGAGAATCTAGTTGTGTAGTTAGTTTAACAAATGTTAATGAAAATGAACGTTCAATGAAAGTAAACCTGTAGGTCATCATGACATTCATTGAAAGCTTTAACATTACATTTAAAATCAGCAGTAGCTTTGACTTAACCTGCCATTCACCAATGTCAGATTTCAATGTGCAAAAGTATCTACAAGTAATTTAATTATTGCAGGCTAATTCATAATAATAATAATCAATGTATGAATTCAAACCGCATTGACGCGCTGTTCTGATTCTCTACCAGTTTTCTACCTGCACTCATTTTTGCTGTCTGTCATTTTAATCTCCAGGATAATGTGACTGTATTCCTGAAAGGCTGCGGGAAAGTGGGACTGAATGTGTCTCAGCTGTTTCATCCAGGAGACCTGCAGGACCTGTCCACTCGTGCAACACTCAGGTACAGATGACTGACAGAAGCAGTGTCTCGTCAGGTTAAGTGAATGTGTGCAACTGCCTCAAGCTGCAGGAGCTCATGCCAGCACAGAGATGCACACCTTTCACTTCTGAAGGTCAACCCACTTGACTAGTATGACGGCTTGATTCCATTGTTTGGCTGCGTGGAGCACATTTAACACTGAGGTGGTTTTAACTGCAATGCCTGTGCTGGAAAAAGTTTATAGTCCGAGTCTCACGGCTGCTTTGCATTTTTTAAAGGTATGAGCTGTGCCTGACGACAAGCTGCTGCTTTGTAGGAGTTGATAGCCTGTCTGCCTCTCTGTACATGCTGATAAGTAGCTTAGTTGCAAATGAGAAGGCTTAAGATGTCACTGTAGATTCCCCCCGCTTAACAGCAGTATACTTTAAATGGCATTAAGAGCATCACTCTTCTGTATGAATTTCTTTTTTTTTATTATAGGCGAGATGAAAGCGACCGGCGACTCAAAAATGTAAGTTTGACCAGAATGACTGCTCTGACATAAGTATAAAAATGTTTTTCTATCATTCATATATTTTCATGATTCCCTCTCTTGCCTATTGAGTTTCAAAACCTGAAAGGCAACTCAGTCTTACTCCACTTTACTGAGTTAGTTGTCTACATGGTATTTTTTCCAATAATCTGGCATTAAACCTCAGTCTGTGCCAAAATGTAGTTTTATGTTTCACCGCTATGGGTTAATGTGTGTGTGTGTGAGAGTGTGTGAGAGTGAGACATACACGAGTACTGTATGTGTACACGCTTGTGTGCACGGCTGGTATTTTATGTTTCGAAGTTTATGAGGTTGTTTGGTTATCTGGGAAGCCTCATTTGAATCACACAATAGCTGACAACTCGGACACAGTAATGAGGCTGTTTGTCAGAGCACTCTTTCTTTGAAATGGGTGTAGCGTTTTTCTTTGAATTAACCAATTGGGGTCAATTTGTGTCCATTGAAATCCCCAGTTTTTATGCAGGTCTCCAACCAGATACATAAACAATTGAAGTTGCAATACCGAGCTGAGCTTCACTGTTTTTACCTACAGCAGTGATACATTGTGGATTAACGTAGACGTGTACTGTTGCACCCTAAACATTTACAATCAGTAAGGATAGTTTTCTGTACTTGGAGAAGCCTGTTTGATATTGCAAATATTGATTTTCTTCATTCTTACAGTTACGTCATGTTCTATAGCACATGTGTCAAACTCAAGGCCCCCGGGCCGCCACATCATTTTATGTGGCCCACGAATCCGGCAGCAAACAAAATTCCAAAAAAATAGACTACTTTAAACGTCGCTTTAAAACAGATGAAATACTTCTTGCAGTTTCTCATGGGATTGTACTGAGCAAACGCACCCTTAAAAGGATTTTCAGCAAGAAGCGGCTCTGATGTAGAAAGAATGAAACTGAGGTTGCAACCTTCATTGAACAGCAACTGGAAACATCTGCTCAGTGTCATGGTTACAGATGGATGCACCAAAAGTGCCATGAGGATATTTTTATTATCAAGTCTAACTTTTCATCTTTTTTTTGTAATTTATTTTTTGCTGCCGGAAATGGGCTTCCATATAAAAGGCATATGGTTGTCTTGAAATTAAAGTCTATGCTGCTTTACAGTGACAATAAACTTCATCTCCCACAATGCATGACTTTGTGAAATGACGACAACCTGCCGCTAGACAGCAGTTTTTCCATATAGGCGTTAAATAGTTCAATTTTATTTCACACTGTGATGGTGAAGGTAAACTGTAATTTATCTGTGGTTCACATGCTATACACCACTGTTATTCACTGATGGCAACATGTTGTCTGTGTGCCAACATTAAAACGATCACAACAGGTGGACAGGAGAGGCAACAGCCCGTAAAGCGGTTTTCCATCTAGTGATTTTGAGTTGAAAATGATCGACAAATAATCCTAAAATGTCCAAGAAGAGAGAAATTGAGGCAGAGGGAAGGCAATTTAATGAAAGATGTGAAAGCGAATACATGTTTGTGCTTCAAGGAGAAAAAACGGTAAGTATGCTAAATTTAGCCTCCAAGAAAAACATAAAGAATTAAAAGGCAGACTGCAATCGCAGAAGAATATATATTTACAAAAGCTACAGCCCAGTGCATGCTTAAAGGTATGTGAGCAAGTGTGCTCCAACCAGATACAGACTTTTAAAATGTCAGTTTGTGAAGAAACACCATCGCTGACCGAGTTCAGGAACTAGCAGCAATCTAACACAGCTAGCCGAAGAGACGAGCAGGGACTTGTCTTCTTCATTAGCTGTTGATGAAAGCACAGACAACACGGATACAGCGCATCTATCAGTGTTTATAAGAGGCTGAAGGCAGACTTTACTGTTGGTGAGGAGCGCTTAGTTGTAGCTGCCATGCACGGGACGACGACAGGGATTTCCTTTAAAAGTTTGATCTTTGATAGAGTAATGTGGGTTTCTTAACCATAAATTAAAAGGATTTATGTTATAACAGAAATGTGCTTAAATATATTTTTACATTTATATAACTGCATGTACAATATTTTTACACTTGAATAAACAATAATCAAATGCAGAGACGGTTATTTAACAATATGTTAGGGGGTAGTTACATTTATACAGTCTTGCAGTTACAACCGGCCCTTTGAGGGTGACCATGATGCTGATGTGGCCCGAGGTGAAAATGAGTTTGACATCCCTGCTCTATAGTGTCTGCTAATTGCCAAACACTGATTTGAATTAGGGCCAACGTTAACGGGGCTTGATGACAGATTTAAGGGTGCCTAAATAACTAACTGTAAATAAAATCATGTGGCAAATAACACCATTAAATAGGATTAACCTTCTTGTTGTGTGTAGTGTAATGATTTGCTTTGCATGAGGTTGGTGGCAGGCTATTAGCGAATAACGAACACATCCTGTCTCTGTGCTTCAGACTTGCATGAGCCCGTAATGCTTGTTTACGCTAAGGTATACAAATGAGGGAAAACTAAAAACAATTGTAGCTTCAATGATTTAAACGGGAGTAGATGGCCAACAGAAATGTGTTTCTGCTATTGCTTATTACAGTGACTGTCATTTGTGCTGAAAAACATGAAAGTAACCCTCTATTAGGTTGTATTGGTACACCACTGCGATGGCTAGAGCTGAGATAATGTCTGTGTTCGTGCCTTCAATGGACCGGTAAGGTAGCAGCTACAGACACTAATCAAGCATAATGGGGAATCCATACAGAGGTATTTATTACCACTCGTAATCGTCTTTTTCATCGAGCACTGTGCTATAAAATATTTATTCAATGATTCAAATCTCTCAAGGCCCCTATGTGGATATTTTCAATCTGCTGACTGCTCTATGATGACTTTGTTAAGATACAAACAGAAAAATTCTGCCATGTAGTGTTGTGGATGATCCCTTTGCAACACGGGCTGCTGCTCTGCCCTGAAGAAAGGCCGTCCATCAAATAATGCCCTTCGCCTCAAGGCAAATGAGATACAAATCGTGTCCAAAGCGTTTTCCTAGCTCATATAATGAAACGCCAGAAAGAGGTCCATATTTCCCATGCCATTACTCGCTGTCTTAATTAATGGCGTTTTGGGCTCTTGTGAAGGCCACGTGCCTCGCCAGCATTTCTTGTGGCTGATGCTGCGGGAAACTTCGCAATTGCACAACATTTTTGTTGGCAATGTCGATCAGGCGGTCCAGACTGAAATATCCAAAAAAAGAAATGTGTGAGTGATTGCAATGGAATATGGTACAGATATTCATGGTCACCAGAGGATAAATCCTAATGACTGTGGGGATCCTTTGATTTTCTTTCCTGTTGCACCACCAGCAGGTCAGGTTTTTCATTCATCCTGTGAAGTATCTTAACATCTACTTGATGAATTGGCACATGATTTGGTACAGACATTCATGGTTCCCAGAGAAGAATCTACAGTTTATACACTTACAACATCTGTGTTTTCGTATCGTCATTGTAACTTTTCATTGATTTGTCGGGTCATATCTCTTGACTACAACAGTTGGAAATAGTTTTTGTCTATGTTGGCCTGGATCCTAAACTGCCAAACTGTACATCTACAAGTACGATATTGAACAAGTTATTCTCTGTGGCGTGAGCTTTTCAGCTGGAGATGAGTTGGATCAGGGTGGGTATTTCATTTTGTGCCTTGGCCATATATGGGGTATAATAAGTGAGTAAAATAGACAGGCTGCTAAAAACCCTACACTTTCCTTTTTAGCAGGGAAGGGGAAGTTGGGTGTGTGTGTGTGTGTGTGTGTGTGTGTGTGTGTGTGTGGTCGGTGACGTTGTCCATTTACACTCTCAGGTTCTCGTCACAATCTACTGGTTGGGTCGCAAGGCTCACCTTGACGCTTTCTACACTGGTCCTGAGCTGAACTTCAAGGCCTTCGAAGGGCTCTTAGGGTTGGCCTTGTCCAAGGTGAACTGCTCTTCTAGGCTTTTAATGTAGTTGTAGTTCTTTATTTATTATTATTATTATTATTATTGACTTTAACTCTGCCTTCTAAATCCAGGCACTTGATGAGGGCAGCAATGCGTTTGTGAAAGAGTGCTGGTACCCAGAGAGGGAGGAATGTCGTCTCATGAGACCGAGCTACAAGACCCAGAACTCTGTGGACAACATCGACTCTCTGGATTTCAGAGCCCTCCACCTTAACAGTGAAGGTGTGTTTATCATTCTGGTCAATGACCTGTGCACTCCACACCACCGGAATGAAGTGTGACTCCCTTTTTTGTTTGACTGTAAAGTATATAATTACCTGAAATCACTTTGTAATTAAACACTGTGGCCAATAGTGACACATTCTTTCCCTTTTGCTTCAAACTTTATTTTGGTGCAGTGAGTTGAAGACATCGCATCCAATCCACAAACACTTTTTTTCCCATGAGAAGACCTACCTGTTACTGTCGGTCTGCTAAAGAAGAAATGCATTCATCATAACTCATGAATTACAATAAGTTGATTGTTTCACATGCAACCAAGTTATTCGTCTTGATCAACCAAATTTTTGTTGGATCAACAACATTCTGATCTTCTTACTCAATGTGTCGTTTGTCTTCTCACTACTGCGCTTGGTCTCCGTGCACGTCAGTGATAGATTGTGGCAAGTTCCACACTGTGGTGATAAAAGTTTGTGTGATGAGAAAGGGCAAAGTACTTGGCCGTCTAAAGACTCAGTCACTCACTAACGTTCTTCTAAGGAACACTCTATGCATTCTTGCCCTACTCGGTTTTCTTTTTCGTTTATTTTAGCTTGCGTTTCCCCTCGCTGTTCTCCAGACTTGTATCCTTTTTTTGTTTCTCATTTTCCACGTATTTTTGCGGTCTCAAGGTTGTGGAAGTGACGCTGAAGCTGAGGAGGTGTTCAAGATGGAGACCACACAGCCCTCAACCCAGCAAAACAAAAGTTTTATCCCACCGCTGCCCCTACGGAGAAAGCAAGGACGGGAGGATATTGGAAGGGGCTGCGCTAGTCCACTCTCCAGGTACTGCAAATGTTTCGGCTACTGAGAGTTCACTGACTGCCACTAACTCACTTATCCATAGCTGCTTAAGAACTGTTTACAATTGATTTAGATATACATATAACATTTAATTCCCCTGTGGATTTTAACGTTCATTTATGACTTGAACGTCTGTTTATTTGTATTTGCACATATTTACTTCATGTGGAATTTCGACTTGAACATACCCCTAGACAAGATAATTTTATTCCAACCGAATAAAACCGAAACATACAGTATTTGGGAAACTGCTGTCATTCTAATATTGTATCTGGCAAAAAATGGTGTGATGAGAGAACTGGGTTCAATAATATCTATCAATGGTACAATGACATGGATTGTTTTTGGTCGAAACTCATTGTGTATCAAATTTCAAGGTTTTCAAATTGGTTAAGCACTGATCTGCTTTTTTCTATTAACTTATTTTTCTTCACACAAAGCCCAAATCAGTGATGTGGAGAGACGTGCATTCGTGAACACAGCCGTCACAAGTAGACTCAGTCACTTTTACCCGGTGGTAATTATTTGCATATATCTATACCTTGTATTATTTCGTCTTTCATGCGAGAATTACATCAGAACTACTTTGTCAATCTAGACTGAGTGATGTGCTTTTGTTTTCATCACTTGTTTGCAGCAGCCGGTCCACGTTCTAGTTATCAATATGACAAGTGGACTTTTTTTTTTTAAAGTACTTTTTTAGGTGGGTGAATTTTTGCCTCGGAATTTATTATGCGATTTATATTATGACTCTAGTTTAAAAACAGATATTCATTAAAGTGTTGCTCAACAATATAAGCGATGATCATATACAATATTTGATGTGGCAGGCCAGTGTGTTGTCGGTGCTCTGCTTCGCTCTATTTCTCAACCACACTACCTACCCCTCCACTGCTTGGACCGTAACCGTCTCCTCAAAAAGCAGTGAATTTGCCTCCATGCATTAATCATCAGCCACACTTCCACCTTTTAACATTTTGGAGCAGCTCAGCGATCATTTCTGTGATACTCGGTGTAACTATTTTATCAAAAGTGATGTCTGTGTGATACGACATAGACGTGGGTATACCGCTCTTTGCCGCAGCATTGAAGATGCCCCTCTCTCCCCTCAACCCCGCCACACTGCGAGTCCTTCAGATTGTGCCATTGATGAAGAGCTTTTCCTGAGAGCTCAGAGTGAGGACGACTCTGAGGATGATTATACTGACGCAGACCCTGCCCTTGATGACTTGTATTTCCGGCGAGTGCAGCAGACCCTTCATCAGACATCCAACAACCCAAACTACGACCGCTTCTTACCCCGATATTGGACACCCGAAGAGGACACTCGTGTGCGCACAATCTACCTCGGCTCTCAGAGAAGACCCTGGTATCGTAAAATGCAAGGCTTAAGGTCTGTTGGCTGATTTTACTGCTCTTTTAAGCAAAGCTGCGTTGAAGCTTTAGGATTTACAAATGCTTTATTTACTAATGCAAAGCTGAAGCTGCAGTTTTGTACTGTTTTAATTTGCACATTACACAGAAAACATTACATGGCTGGAGTGACGTTGACTGTACCTCGTTCAGTGAAATCTAACATGAAACATTTTGTGTGGTGCTAAAATAACCTGCTGTGTTGCATGTGGTCGAATGTTTTCTGTCAACTATTGTTTTCAGCTATAGTGTTAGAAAAAGTTACTAAATCCAGCTTCACTACAGCAGCAACCTAAATCCTAGTTTGCTAGGCACATGGAAATAGCTAGCACGACTTTGCAAGAAAGATGACATTTAACAGCCAAACCCAACATCTTTCAAATTTGTATCGAATTTCTTCTCTTTCGAAGACTTTCTGTATTGTTTTTTAAGTTGTTAGTGATGTACTCATTTCATGCATCTTCTGTTCCTTTTCTTTGACTGTAGCCGTAAAACTTTGGGCTCCTCCGTGGAAGTATTTGACTTCATTTGCCGGCTTTCGACATCTGCTACTGTGCAAAACATCTCTGCTACATCTGGAGAGCGTCAAACCATCTCTAAGAAGCTTTCTCCCAAACCTGAACATTCACTACTGTCCTAAAGATCCACAGCTAATGCAAACTGTACAGAGTGTTGACACGAGCTCTAAAACACTAACCTACTTGTTCTCTTCTCGTCATGTAGGAAAGTGGAAAAGTGCATTTGCAAATCTCTAATTCATCAGCAAACCATTTATTTGTGATATGCAAATTTTGCCCTGTTTATCACATAGATGTTTCATGAAGTTATCAGGAAAATTAAACATGCTTTGAATTCGTACTGCTACTGATTGTTTTCCTAGCTACTGCACTGTGTAATCTTTTTTTTTTTTTTTTATTTATTTATTTTTTTTTTCTTTTTTAATAGTGCTGATGATGTAAGGACTTTCTAACAGCATCATGCGGAGTGACTCATTAGTTCATAATGGTTAAACAGATGACTCATGTGCCTTGTCGTACTTTGATAGCCATAACAGAGTCATGTAATTTATCACACCTTTTTCTGCCAGCGCTGTGTTCCAGTTCACACTCTGTGTGAGTCTGGCTTTGGTGTGGATAAATTGAGTGGATCAATAAACTAAAATATTGCGCATTCTTTGCACATTATTTCTGCCAAGATCTTTGTTGTCTTTTATATTACAGCTGTGGTACTGAGGGCATATGTGTTGTATCTGTCAAATAATGTTGCCTGCTCGTAATCTATACCATGCCTCTTCTCTATGTGATGTTTTTACTTCACTTTAGCCCCTTGTCATTCCTGGGCTTCATTGTGTGTTACTATGATGTTAGTTACTTTATCAAATCATGGTGCCTTATATTTAGATAATAGTGTTCATCACAGTCTGTGTGTCTGTTTTCTTTGGTTATGTAGAGCATATCAAATCCAGGTCAGACCTGAGACACCAGTTCAGGTCAACCCTGGCTGGATTTGGTGAGTCCCTCAGTTTTAAGCAAAGGTGTCTTGAGACCGCTCGCGCCATAACTGCTTTTGTTGCTGCGTCATCTGGGTGTGCTTTTGTTTGTATTCAGCTTACCCACCTACCTAAATTGTGCTGCAAACATAATTTGTCTTTTCATAAAGATGAAGCACTCGGTATACCTCCCACTATCAATTTTCCTGACAGTAGAATTTATGACAAACTACAGGATTGTTTGTAATCAGTCTTGGTTCTGCCCATTTAAATCGTGTCACAGTTTTGATATACCACCTGCTTGCTAAATGCTGCTGTAAGTTATTTGAATGTCATCTTACACCCTCTGTTGCCCACAGCAGTGCTATTACTTGTTGCAAGTCATGGCTGTTGTGTTATCCAGAGAGCATCTGCTGCGTTACCTGCATGCGACTCTCCTGCTTGCACTTTGCTAAGGATTCTGTTTGGATGCAGAATATGTCGTGCTGCAGCTGTGAATACTGTGGCGCTCTGGCCTGTGATGTTCGGTGTGCTCTGTGTGTGTGATTGAGCTGACATGGAGCATGTACAGAAAGCAGCTGTTTGTGTGCGCTGCATTGCAATGCTACTATTCGTCATCGTTCTGCTGCACTGTTTGTTTGCTCTGTAGATCTGTTATTCATTCCCATGTCCTGCCTCTTTGTCCGTCTGAACCAGGAGCAAATCACTCAGTGACATTCCGATGGTGTACCCTGTGCGTAAAGTTCCTGGTGGGAAAACCATCTATGATTTGGACCACGACACGGACATGGCAAGGGAGTGCAACCAAGAAAACAAACTGAAATGTAGCATTGCTGCCAAGGACAGTGAAGCTCAATGGCATGATGTAAGTCTAGAAAAGCCTTACACCGAAATAATCTATAAGGTCCATTTAGCAGTGGTTAGTGAGAGATACTCCAAAGCTCCCCATTTTCTTCAGCAGATGGTTTGCTCACTTGTCATGGAATTATATGTTGGAATTTCTGTTTTTCTAAACACTTTTCTTCAATGTTGATTTAAAAATTGGGATTGATAGTTTATTCTTACCTTGATAACTGCTATTAATGCTTTAATGTTAATGTAGCAACTTCATCTGCTGAGGAAGATGTGTGATCGTAATGAGCAAGACTTAGCATTACTGTATCTGAGTATGATCATGCCAGTAAATCTTGTTAAATTTGAGATTGTTTTGTCAACCAACCTAACGAGTGAAAAAGGAACTTTCAATCTCAACAAAAAGATTGTTTTCTAAAATATGATCGGATGAAAGAGTGAGTTTTGAGCCTTCAAATAAATTTAACATTGCATTGAAGGTCTATGCAAACAAGCAACAGGGTTATCGGGTTGTGCATTTTGTTTCAGGACTTGACAAAGTGGAAGAATCGTCGCAGGAGCAGCAAGTTTGACCCCCGCAGCAAATCACAAGATGGAGAGCATGTCGTTAACCAGATGGCCAATGGGGCCATGATTCAATTTGAGAAGAAAGAAGCACAAGGCAGACTGCTAAGGTACGCTCCTGCAACAAATCTTAAGTTGAAGCGTGTCCATCTAAAGCTGCCGACCTTGCCTGATATCTGTTCAGTACGCCACAGTGAACTCATGTAATATGACACATCCCCCCCCATCTTTTCTGCTTCCTTTATTACATCTGCTTCTCCTTCCTCGTGTGACAAATCCCCAGTGACCAGCAGGCACCACGCCGGCACTACGCTGCCCCTCGTCCTTACTCCACCTCCTCGCCATCAAAATCATGGAGCTCTAATCTCCGGCCACATACTCGGGCTCTGCAGGCCCGCAGCTACTCCACAGAGGTATCTTTCATCTCCATTTATCACCCAAGTGATGGGTTCTGTTGTGCCAGCCTGACCTTGATCATTGTCCCTGGTTGTGTTGACTTTAGTGTAATTATTGTGAACATTTTTTGCATTGCAATTCTCCAATGTTGACTTATTGATCCTTAGGGATCATCAGATGGAGCCATGCTGTCCTCTGATGGGAACACCTGGGGAGAGGAGACCCACTCAGCCTCCTTGGCTTCAGATGGAGCAGTTACCACCCCTTCTCTAGACTATCCTTTCCGCTCCCAGACGCAAGTCAAAGCGCAGTGCAGCCCAGCTCCTCCCCAGCCCACAACAGAAGTGGCACAACCAGAAAATGTTTTCACAAAGCAAATCTCCACTCTGAACACATCTTTACAGGTAAATGTGACGATGAAGTCGACCAACACCAGGGATCCTACTGAATCCATGTCGAGTCACCAGGAACCTCCATTCAGTGTTCCCACTTTGTGCCCCGATGCTGTTTATCAGGCAGGAGTTGGTGCTCTGGAGGACTTGAACCACAAGTCCCAGGAGGAGAGCCAGAAGACATCTTGGGAACCAGCCGTGGAGCAAGGCAGAGGCCAGCAGGTTGCAGGCGCCTACAAGTACTTGTCCAGCACAGGATCGTGGTCCGGCTCAGCCAGCCTTCCTCGTGGCTACCGGAGGTCCGAGGGCTCAACTCGTCTCTCTTCTGCAATCACAGCCAGACCCTTTGGAACCAAGCAGTCTAGGGTGTCCTTGCTGCCGAGACTGTGCAACGTGAGTTCATTGGTTCTCACTGTTGCTCTTTGAATGTATTGGAGTTTAATCAAATAGTCTCCACACAGTAAGTCACCATTATGTGCTTGTTTCCTGTATTGGTTTAAAGAATACGTCTGGTATTTATTCTACTTTTTTCTTATTTATTAGTTTAAAATAATTTCCTTAAACAGCTGGGTACCGTACTTTTAATCAAACTTTACTCAAATGGGGGTTTTGGTGCATTTGTCTGGGACTAGTTTCAGCCGGCACATTTGTGCCCTAACAAGGATTTAAGTCAACAGGACAGGAAGTGGGATAAACTCAAAATAACCTATAACTCCCATGGTCATCATAAACAAGGAAGATGTCACCTGGTGCAGCAGTGTGGCTTGTTGTGTTTTTAATAGATGTAATAGTGTAGCTTTCTATGTTGGGATAAAGCCATAGATAGTGTTTGTCTCTCTGTGAAAATTAAAATGAATGTGTCAAAGATTTTAAACTAGAAGAACTTGCCACCTGCTGATTTTATGTTAGTCTGGAGGTTATAATCCAGTCTTGATGGAAGGTTAGTGCTCAGAAGGGACTTGTTTAGTAAGCCAAGAAGGCGCAAGCTAGTTAATGTAATGAGAGCATTTTGTGCGTGTGTGTGTGTGTGTGTGTGTGTGTGTGTGTGTGTGTGTGTGTGTGTGTGTGTTTTGGGGGGCATGTATGTGTGTGTGTACTATATGTAAGTGAGCTTGTGTTACCTTTGTTTTCTTTGATCGCCCTCATTAATATTAGAAATGCTGGTGCACCATTGTGAACGGTGTCAACTCGGTACAAGATTCCACATTTCTATTTTCACATTCAGTACCAGTTGTCTTAACGTCAGCACAGTCTCATGTCAAATGCTGCAGAGTACATTTGGCAAATCTATTTGTACAGTCCTTTTGAGCACATCTTGTTGTTGTTAATCTCCAGGTAGACAAAAACGAAGGTCAGCTTTTGAACAGTGAGAAAGAAGAGTCTTTTTCTCCAACCACCAAATCTTCACTCAAAAGGCAGAATGCGACCGCCCATCTGAAAGGTCAGCACCAGGCCTCAATCGCACAGAAGGAAGCTAACCAGGTGAAGCAGAATGTCACAGAGCAGAGGGAGGCGGTGAAAGGTGTCACATTCTCCAGCCAGACCAATGGCTACAACTATCAGCCCTGCTCCCAAACCAAGATGGTACCGCGGCCGTATTCAAACCCGCAGACCCACCGCAACAAAAGCTCGACCCTCCCAAAGGTATGCTGGATTAAAACACCTGTGTGGATGTGCAGGGCCGTCAACGATATAAGCCCTAAAATGCCTAAAGCTAATAATGACCTTAATGTTTGAGGTGGTTTTCATATTCTGCCTTCCTTATTTGAGTAAATGAGGGTTGAAAAAATGATTTTTGATATAATGCTGAACCAAAACAAAACCTGAACGTTATAAACTTCCCAAAGACGGCATTTGTTGCAGGGCTGCCGTGATTGCGCTGCATTGCACATAATAAACTGGTCTCTCGGTGTGTATTTCTTACTATATGGATCTAGTTTCCACCAGGAAGCACAGGACATTGGATCACAGGGTGTCACCTTTACGTGTGTGTGTGTTTCAGGTGGATCACAGTGACATGAGAGTGAGCCTGACTCTTAAACCCAACAGTAGACCAGACTTTGGTCTCCAGACTCATTGGGACTCCACAGGCGCGAGAGTTAAATTCATTCAACCTGGTAAGAATCTTGCTATATTTATCTGTGGATTGCTGAAATTTTGGCTCACTGACATCCCAGTTATGGTTAGTCTGACAAAGTGATGACTCTTTAAACCTCTTATTGTAGAACAAGACAGACATTTTTGTTTCGGTGGTGGCAGTGCCACATTGTCCTCTCAAGTTGTTGTTTTTTTTGCTTCCTCAAGAGGACGTTTGTTTTAACATCCTGCACCTACAAAAAGAACAGTAGTTCAAGACCGTAACTGCTTTCAGAACAGACGGAGCTTAGACAATTGTCACTATTGAAACATAAATGATGTGTCTGAGGCAGTTTGAGAGCGAAGATGAGCAGCTTCTCATGTGCCTGGAAAGAGAGCAAAAATACTTCTCTTCTCTTTTTTGGCATTAAAAAAAAAGTCTTTATATAATTTGATTAATGGCATGTTGATGTTTAATTTGTGTGCATTTGCTTTACATGCATAAAGCTACAAATTGTAGCCAGTGATTTAAAAGTCAACCATGAATATGTCATTAGAAGTGAGAGAGGTGTCACTTACTCACTGCGGCTTACTAGCCTACTTTTCAACTTGGAACAGCAACCTTGTCCTCAATACTGCGTCTCAGTTTGTGCTAAACAAATCATTTCTGAAGCTGTTACTGTTTTGTTTTTTTTTGTTCTTTTTAATGTTTCGCTGTCTTCATATCCCTCATGCCTGTCTCCTCCCCCCCCTCCTCAGGCAGTCCAGCGGAGCTTTGTCAGCTGTGTGTGGACGATGAGATTGTTGCTGTTAATGGAGTTGCAGTGGCACACATGAACTACAACCAGTGGAAGGATAAAATGACATCGTCGCTGCAAACCGGCAATCTGACCATGGACATTCGGCGCTATGGCAACAAGGGTAAGATAATGAGCCAAAGAAGACAGTCTTGATTATTACCACCTTGATTATTTGTGCTAATTCAATCTCTGACCAGTGGTCACAAACGGTGTGGCCTTAGTTTTGATGGCTGGTTTCCCATTAGATTGGAGCACCAGTGAAGGGAGTCATCACAACCAGCCAGGCCAGAGCAGGATGACCCTCAATCTGACTGCCGCAGCGCCTGTTCTGATGGGTTCCCCCGATCTCCATGCCAACAGTGGTGCCTCGACAGACACCGCAGTCAGGAAAGTGTCCAAATTGAATGGGCAGACCGACAATGTGAGCAATGTTTTAGCCAGTTATCACTTCAGTTCAAAAAGGATGCACAGAACTTCTGTTGTTGCAGCTTAATAAGTGGTGCTCATCGGGTGAATCTTGGTGTTCTTTCACCTGCCCAGGTTTTACAAGGTAAAGTCATGTATGGAGAGCTCGCTGACAACCACAGCACAGCCAGAAGTAAAGGTAATAAGAATAAAGTCTGCACAATATCACATGACAAACCTATTTTGCAAATAACTCCTTGTAAACGGTATGAATTGATGTTTCTCACCTAATCAATCCTTCCTCTTCATATAGATTATAATAATATTAGTAGGACAAATCAGAAAAGGAGGGCAGAATTTTTCAAACGGAAAGGTAAAATTCCAGTTTGAACTTAAACTTCTTGTGTAGCAGCTTTGGTGGCTGGTGCTTAGTTAATTGTTGGGTATTCATTTAAAGCTCATTTTTAGAAGGGAGCCGCTGATTTTAAAACGAATCGTAAGATGCGCAGTGATTAGATGAGTTTTTGCTTTGGTACCATTATAATTAAATTAGTACTTTTAACAGGGTTTTAATCAAAGCACCCGAAGTACAAGCCAAGTATTCAAGATGTAGTATTTCTATAAATAATTGCTTTTGCAAACTGGGGCGGTCTTGGCTCAAATTTGACTAGCAACCACAGTGCTGACGGCACGGCCCATGTCTATAACGTACCTTTTATGGTGTGCAACAGATGCTTCATTTACTGCTCGGTCTTCTGCTCAATGAGTGATTTGTGACGCTGTCCTTTGTGGTTGTTAATCAATCTGATGTGTGTCCTGTAACAATGGCGTCTCTCTTTTGGCTCGGCAGGATTCAGCTCATGGGTTTACTTGTGTGGTAAATGTTTACACTGCGTGTAGTGAACATCAACATATGAACAAAAGCAGATTTGTGTTGCCATGCAGTGTGTGAATACTCGTTCTTCGAATTTACTACGGCATGCTTAAATCTTCTGCTCGACTGTTTCTTTTTCAGTAGCTCCGTGCAGTGTCTTTAGGCTGGGGATGCGTTAGCAGATAGGTGAGCTGATCCTTGGTCAGCTAAAGTCTGAGGAGATGAGAGTAGTTGAGATCTAATCCACTTAGGCATCTAGCACGGTTGTACACGTAACTCTTGTTTACTATGAAGTGGCCTGCTAGCCCTCCAGCTCTGGAGTCAATGCAATCTGTACGGTTCATGTTGATACTGTTTCTGGCTACGGCTACAGCCAAAGGTTTTGTGCCACATAGGAGGATGCTGTAAAAATAGATAATCCATCGTGTCATCCACTACATTTTCAAAATGCTTTGGATTCTCAGTCTTCTAATGTGTCCCCAGCCTTTGTGTGGTGTGTGTTTGTGGTCTTCATGGCATTACACACAACTTGATCATCTTTAGGAGCTGCTGTATCGTGTTCTCTGCTGACCTGTTATTTTCCCACACAGGAGGTTCAGAATCAGCAATATCTGATGTAAGTTCCCACGCCACTTGATCAAAGGATGTTTGCATGCATGTTCAAACATAAGTTATGCATGTGTGTTGAAAGAGTTTGTGTGCTGCAGTGTGATGGTGTTTGAGCCTACAGTCTGTCTGTGCATCACCAGCTCCAGGTGCCATCCCTCAGCCCCTCCTCCTCCAGCTGGTCGTGGGACCCTGAGGAGGATCGAAGGCGTCAGGAGAAGTGGCAGGAAGAGCAGGAGCGCCTCCTACAGGTGAAGACTTTTTTTTGTTGTTTCCAAACAGAACTACAGCACACTCCTTGATAACCTTAATCATCTTAAATTGAAATCAACATGCAAATATGTTGGCGCTTGTTTTTTCAGGAGCAATATCGGCGGGATCAGGAGAGGCTTGAATCACAGTGGCAGAGGGCACAACAAGATGCAAAGGGGGAGTTATGCAGGAAGTCGGGGGTAATGTTCAGTGGTCCTCTGAGCCTTTTCCAACCGGCACAACATTTTTAGTTATAATATATTTCATTATCACCCAGTTATATCAGATTTTCATCTCTAAAGCCGCCATAGAAAAAGCTTACCCCACGAATGTATAATGATAACTGTAGACTGTATTGCAGTCAGAAACCCCCTTATTGTCAATATACTGAAGAATATCTGTCTCTAGTTTGTGGTTGTAAAGTTTCATGAGGCTGTGATTATCCCAAAGGTCATTTCATACGGACGCCTCAAGTTTCAAAAAGTAGTCTCACTATGTGGAATGGCTTCTATGGGGACTAAGGTCACCACACATGAATCCAACTGGGCTCATTGAATCCGAAAGTCTCGGGTTTCCAGTCAAACCCAATTTATGTAATTCCAAAACTGTTTAGGGAGCCCAGTATGCAGAATTTTGTATTCAGATATCTTGAGGTGAGAGGTCAAGGGACCCCTTCGAAAAATTGCCATGCCCATTTTCCATCACCAACATTTGGCCTAACTTTGGAGCGTTGTTCATCCCTTCCAGACAAGCTAGCAGCCAACAGTATCTTCACTCTGGCTGTCAGACTATGCCCACTACAGCCTGTTAAAGACAGTAATTGTCTCGTAGGGTTAGGAGAAAGCTACATGTTTTAGCTACATGCATAACTAGAATAATTGCTCATGCATTTTTCCCGTGCCGTCCAGAAGGTGTTATCTCTCCGCCATGATACCTGATTCCATGTGAATGCAGCATAATTAGTTTCCTTAAACATTGTTGGGTGCCGACAGCAACAAGTACAACCTGCTAAACCTCACCTTTACTGCTTATTACACGGTTTCCTTTCAATTCCTTTTTCCGGAATATCACAGGATTCATGTTGGAGCCCCCCGACTCGCATCAAATATCAGTGCTTTACATTGTTTCTATAGAGCCTCATTTCTTTTCTCGGCTTCCTTTTAATGCATTTGAAGCAGAACACCTTTGAGATGACTGATGGTGGTGAGAGCCCTGCCAGCACCCAGCTCTATGTGAATGGATTGACAAACAAAACCAGAGAAGAAGAGCAGACCCGAGATGAGCTGAAAGAAGCGGGATCGAAACCTCAAAGTAATGCACAAGGAGAGCAGCATGACAAGAATTCTGAACACGCCTGGTAAATCAATTTTTTTTTCTCCCCAACATTGTCAGCTCTTTTCCATCCCTGCTGAGTGTAAGTGTTATGTGTGTGTAATCACTGTGCTGACTATTGAATGAAAGATTGAGAATTTTTATTTAGAAAGTCTTTAACATGACTTGTTTTGTTTTTTCCTCCCTGACTTGTCGTGATCTCGTCTACATTGCTGCGGTTGCTGAATCTGCTGGGCTTTCTTTTGCTTTCGCTGCTTCTCAGGCTGTCCCTCAGGGCTAAAGACTCCTGTGGTTTTGCTCAGCTGTCTCTTGCACACAGGTCAGGACTAGTTGTCATCCAATGGTTTTTAATATTTAGCTTTGGGCATAAATGTCCCTGTGTAGTATATCGGTCTGGTTGTCTGCAAGCCTAGCACAGTATCGTTTGCTCAAAGACAATTAATATGACACAAGGTGATTAGTAATTTTTCTAAAGTGGGTATTATTTACAACTACCTTTACCTCTTGTGAAAAGATGAACCACCTGGATGCTAACGTCGGCATGCAACCAGCGTGGTGCTGACGCTGAAAGCCCAATTATTAAAAACCAAGAAATGAAAGCATCATATTTGTCATTTTCTTTCTTTTTTTCCTTCCACAGGGCAAAGTCCATGTCTACCCCAGCATTAGCCGGCCCCTACAAACTGGCCATAGGTTAGTCTACCCTCTCTGTCATGATATTCCCCATCTGTTGAGGTGATGTAACATTACTGGGCTAACCTGCCAAGCTTTGTGTGGTTCAGGTGATGAGAGGAAAAGAAAAGGACAGTCTATGTCTAACGCTGAGAAAGACAGGAAGCAGATATTGGAGGAGATGAAGAAAAGGACTCAGCTTCTGACTGACAACAGCTGGATACGTCAGCGCAGCACCAGCTTTTACAAGGAGCCAGTCTATGTTGGGGTTCCTATGAAGAGGTGGGAGTATTGGGACTCCGCCGCACCTTTTTTAGGCAGCTGTTGTTTCAAATCTTTCGGTTATGACATTTCCTCACTGTTTTTTCCCTTAAGCCTCTTTACTAGCGTTTGCTGAACTGTGACGTCTGCTCTGCAGGTATGAGTCTCTGGACGACCTGGATACTTTGCGTCAGTACCCTTTCTCGACCGCTACATTCAGTTACCCTCGTCCACAATCTGCTGCTGCAGGTTACTGTGCTCCGAGTAGGAACTCCTCCTCCCGCTACAGCACTGGAGCAATATTATCCCAGAGAAATACATTTGACTCCTCTCATCATGGCAGGTACGCAGTTCATTTGAACGTAGAGCCTTTCTCTGTTTTCTTTATGCTGTCATTCATTTTGGCCTAACATGTGCTGCCCCAGGATGTCCAGTGGCAGGAGGACTTGCTGTGTGTGTGAGCGTGTCCTGGGTATTGGGGCAACCATGGTCATAGAGACCCTTAGTCTCTGCTTCCACCTCGCCTGTTTCCAGGTGAGAGGTCATGACCAGCTTAAGGTGCAGTCACAGTAGCTCCAATCCTTGCAAATAATTACTTCATCCCCCCGTTTATATTATATTGGCTTAAAGTTGGGAAAGTTGAGTGACGGGTAGGTGCTGTCTCAAGTTGCTGGCGGCTAACTGTCTCCTCTGCTGCGTCACTGCCTCAGCTCCACCAACAATCCACATCTTTGCCTGTTTTTGGATTAGCCTGTAAGTTAGGCTGTGTCCTCATTGCCAAGATGGCGACAGCAGAAGACACTCGTTTGAGTTTCACAACGGTTCTTCAGAAACCTACGGTTGACTTAACGGAGACTCAACCATATTGTATTGAGTCTATGGTGGAGACGAAAGTGCTTTACAAAGATAGTTTAAATACAATTGATGTGTTAGAATTAATAGACAGACAAAATATGCTCTTACAAAATAATAGATAAATGCATGAAACGTCTGGCCATATGAATGAAGTTTTCCACATTCTTTTTATTGGCTCCACCAGCTGTGGATACACCCAACTCCTAATATTCACCTAACGGTGGTGAATGGTAACATGCATTCATTTGCATTTTCTCTTGCTGATTCTTTTGAAATTGATTAAAGAATATTGTTGCTACACTTGGATGGAAACTTGACTAGAGAATGCTTTACACCCACGATCATGCTGCCCAATATGTATTATGTACGGCAGAACCGTGACATTCTTTCTTATTGTGGGGTAAAATTATTTAGACTGAAGGCTAATGTGACTGCACCTTTAACAAGGTCATTAGGAGTCTCGTATCTGTAGTTAGAATCAAATCCACCTAATAGGCATCTGCTAGCAGGAGCATTTCAGACAGCTTTCTATACTTCCAGCTTTCGTAAACCGTGTTTCCCCTGATCTGTGTAAGGCATCTGGCCTGGTGGTTGTCTGGTGCCGTAGTCCTGTGTGCTTTTTCTCTGTTGCTCTCTAGTTTTCTGCATGTGGCTGGTTTAGCGGGAGAAGCCAGCCTGCTGTCCTGCTTTGCTTTTAGATGCTTACTGTGAAAATCTCTGGCAGAGGACCCCCCCCGCATTTAGTAGACCTACGTTCATTAGCATGTAGATGTGAAAATCACTTCTACATCACTTCTACATCGCTCTGCTCCACATAAGCTAGAGACGCACATAACACCCATAGAGTACTATGTGTTTGTATGTGCAAACTGAGCTTAGTTCTTTGTTTGGGTGGCGGACAATGTGGTGAAATTATTTAGACGCGAAAAGCCCACATTACAGGTCAGCTGGAGTTCTTTTTCTCACCTCTTCCCCTCAGTGTGTGGGCTGCCACCGACATCTCGGAGGAACTGAGACTGGAGTCCAGGTTCGAATCCGAAGCCGGAAGCCCCACTGTGATCCCTGCTATTTCCAACTCAAGTGTGAGTATTGGTCTCACTTTCTTTTCTTTCTGAATCAATACAATTGTTCTTTTATGGCCGATTTCCTTGCCGTGAAAAATAGGAATGAATCCTAATCATGTACTTTGAACCAAATGTACTTGGACTGCACTGAACAGCTGTCCAGGAAACTTGAATTTAATTAGCTTGTCAAGTAAAAATCTAACTGTATTATTAATAAAGCTTATTACCATTTTAGCCGCTGGTGTCCCCTCCGTGTGACCACGCTGTACTCCAGATCATAGAGGGAGCAGCCGGATCACTGGGAACTTCTGTTGGATAAAACTACGAAAACACAGTGGAAACATCATCCACACAGCCAAGCCATGCCTTTTGTCTACAACAATAACTGCTGGTAAAACCATAAATGCTCTGATGTGACATAAAATGCTAACAATCTGTGGATCCACATGCAAAGTAGAGATTTAATGGCTGTTTTTAATTAAGTTTGGTAAATGTGGTACTTAGTTTTTGTTTTCTGCTAATATGTTTCCAATAAAATGTAGGTTTAATATATGAAATAAAGTAATTATGGGAATTATTGTTTGATGAATGCTTTTACTTTAATGTTTTTGTTATTTGTCATTTCCTTGTGTCATCATTGATATTTGTCCAATAGTACATTAAAGATATTTTGTTAATGTAACCCATGTATGGAGGCACATTTTAACTTGTACTGAAGCACTTTCTGTTCTATTGTAATCTCACCAAGTGCCCTTTGGGGTAAATCAGGGGCATCTATAACGCATGTATAAGTAAGAATCTTAAGTGAAACACTTTTGTAAATAAAGTGCACTGAACATAATCTGAGGGCTTCTATTTCTTTGTGTACCACATGGGGGCATCATTGGTCTCATGGTAAAACAGAAATGTTAGTCTCATACTGTGGGTAGAAATGTCATTTGCATATGCCACAATTATAAAGTACCTGTTAGGTCTGTAGTGTACAATATGACTATTTTAATGTTATGAAATATTACATGACAGAACAGGTACTGGCCAGTGTGTATGTTTCTGATGCTACGTACGTCTTACTCCTTTTCAAACATGAAATAATGTTCATTGAGTTTACTGTATGTTTGCTTGGTGTTTTTATTTTGTTTTCTTTAATATGACCCTAGCTGGCGACAATGAGCCGACGGTAAAGTATCTAAGAATTAACATCTACGATGTCTGTGTATACATAGACATGAATAACGGGTAGCATTGTTGCTGGTAGATTTATTAAATATCAATTTATGGAACTGTTAGTAATTCAATTATGATTCATTAACTCATAAATTGGTATAAAATAATGATAGTGGCTTATGGCATAAACTAAGTACCATCAGTTTAACGAGATTCAATTTTGGATGTCACCCAATTTTGGAAAATGTTAATCAATTCTTAATCTCAGGGTTCCTAAGGAGTTCTCAATGTCAATATATATACCAACCTATCATGCATATACATGTAATGTATATATTACAGTATATAAACATACATAGAATACATGTAAATATACATAATGCATATACTGTGTGTATATATATATATATAAAATACAGGGACTTACTAGGACTAGCATATCACGGAAAAGTTTCTTTAAGTTGTCTATTAACAATTGGATGCTTCACTACAAAGATGAGGTCATAAAATATGGTAGACTCAGCCTTAACAATTTGAGTGTTGAGTTGTATCTGCTCCGATTATGTCCAGACACATGGCAAATTAAGTGTTCAACCATTAAAATTAAGTGACCGATAGGTTGGGAGAGCAGTTCCTGAAAGAAGTTTATTAGTTGAGATTGTGACATAGACATTTCCTTTTTATAATCTCTCGGTGGATGTCTGCCACAACGTGTATGAGGCTTATCACAATGTGATCATATTCGAGACATGGTGTGGACATGCTCAAACTGGATACTCTGGCAACCTGATCATAAACAGTTTATTCATGCCCATGTAAACACACTCAAAGATGAGCGCATCATACATGAGGTGTTTTATGCTGTCAAAAGAAACTGGACAGAAAGAATAAACAGAAATCTTCTGTCTTTAGTTAATCTGCCAATCTGTTGTGTAATGCATCAACATCTCAAATTTACTAAATGTTTGCTCTGATGCAGTAAGGTTTAAGAGTGAGGAACTGCAAGTGAACCTGTGAATTTAAAAAGTACTTTTCCAATTGAAATATTGATCATTTGTTGTGTGTGTATATTTATACACTGCTTAATGTCCATTTTAGCAACAATTGCTAATGGGTAAAAGTATCTGTTTAATAAATAACTGAAGCAGTGCACTGCTTAACAATGAAGGAACTACCTGTGCTTTTCAAAATGTCTGTAAAAGGTTTTTAAACACTTAATTTAGTTCTCCATTTTTAGATATACCAATTCCTATGAAAAGGGGTAAACAACTCTCCCAAACCTCCATTGTGTGGGGTGAGTAAGAAAGTGCTTTGTGTTATTTTGGTAAACTGACCTTTTACGGAAAGTTGATGAAGCAAGGTTAAAGTGACAAGGGGAAGAGAAAGTTTTCTGTCCTCGGGCCTTTCGATAGGGAAGTGCTATGATCTAAAACAGTGGATTGAGGCTCTGAAGTCCAGAATTAAAGAAGAGTTTGTGGTTTTGTGCCCACTGTGGTGAGAAAAAAAAAGTTGGTTCTGAGTTCTAGTCTGTTCTGAGATGTATCACAAGGAAGGTTACACTGCAGTAAGTAAGTAAACAGTACTGGAACAGCACAAAGCAGTATTTCATTCATATAAGGAAGTTGTGTGGCAATGCAAATTACACATTTGCAACAGATTCACACACATCTGACAGTTATGTCTTTATGCCCCCGATTAACTCCGACAAGTGAGAAGAGGAAGCTGCAAGAATATTACAAAGTTGTTAATGTGGCAGTGACCACATTGGAAGAAATAATTTACTGTATAATACATTTAGAATAATAAATGTGTCTGTTGGTTCTTGGAACGCTGAGCTCTCTTTGGACCAGAGACATCAGCCTGATGGCTGGAAGTGTTTTTGCGGTTTACTGTGACGTGGTCTTTTGGAAGGTGGAGTTCAGTTCCGTTGAGGCTCAAGTAGAGATATATTTTTAAGTTTCTGAAATGCTCCATCTGTTTCGGATGACTCTTGTGACTCCAGCCTGACACATTTAAATATCACAAGTTAAGTAAGCCAGAAACAGCAGAGGGTCAAACTGAACGGGCAGGCTAATCATGGAGTGACATTAGTTACTATAAGTCTATCTTGAGATTTGAAAGATTAGCCAGATTGATTTAATGCTTTTATTCTTTTTTTGTGCTAAATGTTTGTACCTCCAATCAAAACCACTACGTTTCTTAATGTGTAACTGATGAATGTAAATGTAATACATTACCATGACGCACATAATGGGAGAGAGAGATCGGTCTTGAGCATCACTGGGACAGTTTTTAAAAGCCTCTTGTGCATTTATTCTGGTTTTTGATTGCAGAGCATCCAAGTGGAAAATCATAACCTTGGTCTTTGTCTGTCTGCTGCCTTAGGGTATAGGAATGGTACTTTTTGTTTTTACTTTTGCTTTACAGGAAACCGTTTTTCATGCAAAATTCTTCCCACAAAGTTTCCATTGGAGGTTTTCTGTTAAGTTGGCCACATCTGTCATCAATGGTTCAAAGTTCCCTGATTAATGGTTCTGTGCCGGTCCGTTCTCAGTTGAAGACATCTTTATCTACTTTAAATAGTTGTCTTTGTAAAATAACCACTTAACCTTTATCCAAGTTTATAAACAAAGTAACTTTCTCTTGGTGGTTTGCTCAAATGAACACAAGTATCTTTGTGCAACTGTAATGATGAAACAATATTTTAACTGTGCTGTTGACACCGGGAGGGGAGTGGAGGGGAGGGGGGGTTGACAACTCTGGGCTGTACAGAAAACCTGCAAGACAGGTGTGGGCAATCCACTGCGGACTACAAGGGGGTGTGTTTGCCCCAAACTACACTGCCCACAGCAAACACACACTTACCCACAATGACCTCTCAGGGCTATTGACATTTGTGTTCTACCAATACTGCAAACAGAGGGAGCGTCTGTAACACAGTTTGACTTTAAACTGCTGACAAACCGACACAGGAAGCAGTGAAGAGGAAGTGGGCGTGTCTGTGGCTCGCTGATATCTGTGTCCTCCCAGTGCAACATCAGTGCTGTAACTTTGTCCAGAACCCTAACAGACAGAGACAGACAAGGCGGTATGACCTGGAATCTGCTTTCACAATCCTCACTTGAACTGTTATGAATGATAAAATGTTATGTTTTGGGCCATAATGAACAAAGGCTAAACAAGGTCAACACTTAAGAAGACGTACTTCATCACTACGCTCACAAACATTGCTTTATACAAAGGGGGCTGCTAACATCAGCATGCTAACATGCTCACAGTCATAAAGCCCTGCTGATGTTAAGCAGGTATAGTGTTTACCGTGTTCACCATCTTAGTTTTGTGTGTTGCATATAACATTTGCTAATTTGCACTTAACAAAAAGTCATTCTTTTTGGTCTTAAACAAAAAGCCATAAAGTATTGGACATCACTTTGAAATAATAATCGGACAAGATGAAAACTCAGGGGATCATCAATTAATACAATTCATCCTCAGGGGGATATGAATGTTGTGTGTAAATCCATCCAGTACATCTTGAGGTATTTCACTCAAAAACTACAAGCGTCAACCTGCTGGTGGCGTTACAGGAAAGGTCATTAGGGTTCATCCTCTGGGGACCACAAATCCTTTTGCCGTCCTCCCTAAAAAATGGCCAATTAGGCTAATTGGATCCAAGTTGCAGGTGCGGAAATGTTTTTGAATATGCAAGGCAAAGAAAGGTGTCAATTCAAAAGGTGTAAAAGCAACTTTCTCCAGAATAATGCGGTATCTTATTATTCATGAAATGGCATTACAGCTCAAATTAAAATGACCTTAGTAACAGTGTCACAGACAGACTTTTCTCCACATCTTGCCCTTTCAGACAGCCCTGAGAGGAGGGAGGGGGGTTGCACTTCTTGTGAAAGGAAGCCTGCTGCAGCCACAGCAGGGGAGGAGGATGCTCCCTCTCTTCCTCTCTGTTCCCTGCAGCTGATTGATGCTGGCAGCCTTTTACCTTTTAGTTTACCGGCACAGTGCTAGGCTCAGATTTGTCACTGGGAGCTGCACCAATCTCCGGTCTGCTGCTGGGCGCTGAGAGCAGCTCAGCGGAGACTGGCGACATTTACACCCTCCCTCTACCCAACAAAACTACACAGAACAGACAGGGAGACAGAACTTTATGGTCAGAGGCACAGAGGCTGAGTCCTTGAAGGAGACAGATAACATGGCCACTGAGGATCACAGATTTTAGTCTGTCTGCAGCTGTTTTATCCCCCCCCCCGTCTGATAGCGTGACATGCAACTTTATAATGTTTAAAAAGCATGAAAGTTGAATGCAAAAGCAATTTGATTTCCAGATCATTTTAAGTATTTTAAGTACCACAATCTACTGAAGTGCTCAATGTAATTTCATGCATTGTTATGTGTGAATTGAAAGTGCCTTGTTTACGAAGAAATGCTTTGCTTGTTTTGACTGAAACCCATTTAAGAACTCAAATCAAAAATATCACCCGAAGACAACACTGTACTTCCAGTGTTTTGTTCATTTTTGCTCTAGTTTTGTTAAAAGAAGTTAAAGCGTGACATTAAAAAATATTTGTTTATAATTAGCATCTTGCACAAAGCTGGTTGTGTTCTGTACTTAATAAAAGTAATTTGCGGTTGCAAAAGTGCAGGACTAGAGCTTGATTGTATGAAGGTTTTGCGTAATGCTGTCGTCGTGACCAGATTAGTGGTTTTTATTCATTTCTTATTTTGTGTTGCTATCAGATATAATAAACAGGATGGCAGAAG